TCGCTAGCACTCTAGAAAAAGAGCAGTAGTTACCCTAGATAAATTCTTAAAAAGGGGAGGGTAGAAAAATGGGGGGCTATAAAAAGGCTAGATAAGATTAGAGGATGATATAGTCTCTATTACTTTAATACATGGTTCACACCATGCAAAATCGCAACTAGTACATGTTTGATAGGTCTCTGTAGCGAATTCTATAGTTTTTTCGCAACTTTCACAAGAAGTATTCGTAGCAGATTGAGTACCGTCAGTATCAGTAGGCTCAAAATTTTCTGGAGTAGATTTCATGAAAGAATGGTCAGCTTCATAAGAAGGATCCAGAGGTTCCTGAGTATTCGAGTCCACTGGACCCCTACAATTCTCATACTCACCAACTAGCTCTTCCTCGGTTTTTAACATTGTTAAAGTAGGAGAGAAAAACCCTACAGTACCAGGTACAATGTCAGAGCTGTACAGTAAAAGAGATACAGCATAAGAAAGTCCATCTAATATTAATGCTGGGTAGATTCCTAATATAACAGTAGGTACTGTTAATAACATTAAGATAGTAAATTCTCTTTTAGTTAGATCTGGCATTACTACCGTGAACATTCTTGAGTAAGCTCCACCAAAAGCTATTCTTTGGAACATATAAATAGTATAGGCTGCAGAAAATACTATAGAGCTACTAGCAAATAGACCATATAATGATGATCTTTCAAATACCCCGTATAATGATAAAAATTCCCCTATAAAGTTTAAAGTTAAAGGAGCTCCACAATTAGCAAGACATAATATAAAGAATAGTATAGCAAAAAGTGGCATTACTTGACTAACTCCTCTATAGAATGATATTACTCTTGTATGAGATCTGTCGTAAAGAACTCCTCCTGCACAAATAAATAGACCAGGTGAAACAAATCCATGAGCTAACCCTAAAGTAATTGCACCTTCAATACCTTGTATACTATTACTGAACACCCCTAGAAGATAAACTGCGGCATGAGAAACAGAACTATAAGCTATAAGTTCTTTAATATCTATAGTTCTCAATGTACTAAGGCTAGCGTATACTATAGTGATAACACCAATTAAGAATATTATATAAGTATATTCCATATAAGCTTTAGGTAAAATAGGTAATATTAATCTCAGTATTCCATATAAACTTAACTTAAGAACGATAGCAGCTAAAATAATACTACCGCCTAAAGGTGATTCAACGTGAGCTTTTAAAAGTCATGTATTTAAGAATATAGTAGGTGTTTTTACCGCAAAAGCAATAAAAATACCATAGAATAAGAAAAGTTGTGTTATATAAATGAAGTTACCTTTAAAAAGAGTATCATAATCTGTAGTACTCATAATAGAAGACATTGCCAATATAGATAATAATAAGAATAAAGAACCCAGCAATGTATATAAAAACAGGTAAAAACTCGCTTTAACTCTATTATCTGAACCAAATATACCTATTAATATGAAAAGAGGTGGTAATATACTTTCAAAAAAGATGTAGAAAAGTAAAATATCTAATACTAAGAAAACCGCTAATAATAAACTTTCTAACAGTAAAATTATAATAACATAAGATTCTACATCTCTAGATATAGATTTTCAGTTAGATAACAGTGAAATAGGAATAATTATTGTTGTTAATAAAACAAAATAAATAGATAAACCATCTAGCCCTAAATAAAAATCAAAATAGCTTATTTCATGGTACTCTTGTACAAATTGAAATTGGTTTGTACTAAAATCGAATAAAATAAATATAACTAATGAGATAAAGAAATTTAATATAGATGTGGATAGAGCTATAATTTTTATGTTTGTTAAAGAGCTTCCATTTTCTCTATTTACTAAAATGGCAACTACACCTAATATTGGAGTTAAAAGTAAAGATGTTAATAACATTTATAAAACAAGAAAGATAAATACTTGAAATTCGTATAAATAATAGTGCACCATTTATACTTTACACAAAAGCATATGTATGGTATGGTAATAAATCTCAGCTTATACATATAAGTAACGTATATTTAACCAATTAGTCTTTCTCTAAA